AGCTTATTTTCAAGTTTGTAATTAGATGCCTTTAAAGATGGCATTTTGTAAGATAAAAATGATTTGTCGATTAGTGTTTTATTTTTATAATCTAGAAGCGATAGAGGTATCAAAGTTGAGTCTAAGTACCAAGAGCGTTTTAATATTGAGTTAATGACTTTATCTACAGCTTCTTTTACTTGGCAAACATCTTTGAACAGAGTCATTTGATGTAAAGCTCTAGTATTAAGGTATGGGGCTTTAATAGGGTTGTGGCTTTGCAAGTACCATGGAGCATAAAACAACAAATACACTCCACAATTTGCTCTAATTGAGCTTCTACGTCTTCCTCTTTTCACTTTTCAACTTTTCTCATTTGCCATTAAAGCAACATTTCCGGAATAAATATCTTTAGGAATGTTGGCCCGAATTTTCGCAGTGCTTGGTTTCTTTTTTGTTTTTATCCATTCGCCTGGCTCAAAGTCAGAATCAGAAAAGTTATCTGAACTTAGTTCATCATAACTGCTAACGTCTTCATCGTAAAATATTAAGATTTTACTCGGTGATTCATTTTTCATTGCATTTTTGCACTTCTTTATATTTAATGATTTTACCTTATAGAAAAATAAATTTATTAGTTATAAGTTGTTAGATTGAAAAAAACACAAAGTTAGAGCATATTTAGTAAATTTATCAAACTATAAAGAGTATATTATTTAAAAAATAAATGTGTGGATGAGAATCAAAAATGTAATCAATCAATAGTGTAAGTCCAAAATGAGAATCAATAGTGTAAGTCTAAAAACAAAATAAAGTTAGTTAAATCAATATTTTATATACAAATGCTTCACTCCATATAATAAATGCTTCACTCCATATAGTAATTCAATAGTTCATCTACCTTTAGAGCATCATTTAATTTAGATCTGACGCAAAACTGCCTAAACATTAAAAAAAATAAAACTTACACAAAGCAAACTCTCACAACCAACACATAATCAAAGTATATTTAGTGTCTAGAGGACCCAAATGATATAATCTTGGACCTTCTTGATCGTCTAAGAATTGTAAATCTTCGATTTTAGATTCATTGGATCTTAGCTTGCCACTTTGGATAAAATCTTTTAGTTCTGGAATTCCTATCCTAAAAATACGAAATTTTTAAAAATACAAAATTTTTAAATCCTATTTGATTTTTAATATCTTGTTTTGAGTTTCTTTTGATATTCTTTAATAAATTGGAATATTTTTGCTCAAAATTTTTAAAACATTTTCGAATATTATGTTGCTGGAAACCCTGCTTTAATCCATAGATGTTTTATTTTCGCCATGATACATTCACATTCAACTAGTTGACACCTATCAACCTTTAAGTTTGACTTTGAAGAACAATATAGAAAATCTTACTTTTTTTGTAACTCCATTTGGCAAATTTGATTGACAATATTAAAAGTGTTACATGATATCCATACCCGTTGGAAGTTGCGTTCTTAAACCATGTAGGTTTTTATTAAAATATTATTACCAATACTATATAAATAGTATAAATAAGCGCCCATTATTTATCTTACAGAGTATAATAGTGTAATGGATTGGTGTCGATATTGAGATAAAAACGTGTTTTAGTGACCATGACTTCTTTTCAGGTATATACAAAATATCATTAAACCAAATCGATAATTGCACATTATTTTTATTTCTACGCAACACATACCTAAAATAGAGTATTGGACAAAACTAGTGCAACCAATTAATCCTAATTTAGTTTCTTTATATATAAGTGCTGCATTTTTTCAATTTAGAAAATTAAGTTTGTAACTGTTTAGAGACTACGTTCTTCAAGTTTTATTCATCACAAAGTTCATTATTTGTACACAAAAATTAATAAATTATTCGAAAGTATTAAAAAAAGTTGATTTCCTTCTGGACAAAACAAGTACAACTCCACAAAATAATGACCAAGCTGTATTTCGCTATCAATATTTCGTACGGAATGCTTTGTTGTAGATCACAGCCTTGCATCTTTGAGGCATAGATTCGATCAGGTGATCAATGAAACTTTGTGAAATCGCTGCCCAGGCCTTTTGGATTTGTTCAAACAGTTGATCCTTATTACAAACACCTTTACAATTAATTCTGCGCTTGACGATCTCCCACAGGTTCTCAATAGGGTTGAGATCCGGAGATTGAGGCGGCCAATCCATCATCGATAGGTGATTGTCTTGAAACCACTACTTGACTACTTTTGCAGTGTGTTTCGGATCGTTGTCTTGCTGAAAAACCTATTTTATTGGCATATTCCATTCAGAATGAGGTAACACAACATCTTTCAGGACATTTTTATACATGAAACGGTCCATTAATCCATTGATTCGATGTATTGGATCTAGACCGTTAGCAGAAAAACACCACCAGAACATTATATTGCCTCCACCATGCTTCACGGTCTTATGGCAGTAACGTAAATTGAGGCGTTTTCCGGACAGTCAACGTACTCGGCAAATGCCATCGCTCCCAATGATGTTGAACTTCAATTCATCCACCTTTGTTATCTGCTCCCAACTTCCCCGTAGAACGATATTTAGAACATAGTCTTGATACGGTCCATTTTTTCACGCTATATTTATCACAAATACTTTTTTGTGGCATTCCACTTACGTAATCGCCAATAATTTTTTTTCTTAGTTCCAATCCAAGACTGTCGGGAGTCATTTTTGCACTTAATAAAAAGAAATAAAAATAAATAATCACGTTTCTCAAAGGCTTACTGTGTTACATTTACCTTGGGATGATACAATAATGCTCTGTGGAACACAACGTCTTGGTTGGATGAGGACTGTATTGATGTAATGAAACACTTGTTGTATTTCACTTCTTGTATTAATGTTCTTCGATAAAACACTTTGATAAAGCTGACTTTGATAAACTGTCTTGACAATACTAACTTGATTGACTTCCATATACTGACTGAATTACATGTCGGTTTACATGTCTCTTATATAGTAAAATGAACCTGTTCTGGAAGATTCTAGATGCATCTTTTCGATGCTTCTAAATGTTTCTGGATACTTCCAGATGCTTCTTGTGGAAACTTCTGCATGCTTCTGGAAACTTCTTGTAACTTCTGGATACTTCCTTTGATTATTAAAAAGCTTCCGTGACGTTGACACGGACCAGACTTAAGAAAATGAAACAAACCATAAAAGTTGCATTTGTTTTGTCCGCTGCAAAATGGCACTTGTCAACAAAATTCTGCTTGTGCGCTGTCACCTGCTTGCTCATGTCATGGCATGCTATGACTCCATACTCCTGAACTGTTTGCTGTGGTAGTATAGTTCGTTTTGTTTTAAAGACATGTAAAATTAGGAACATTTTTTAGCATTGTTTGATGTTGGTTGCAAATGTTTTGTGCAATACTGTATATATCAATAATATGAAAAATCTTTTTAGAAGATCTTAAACTGTTATTGCGCAAAATGTTTCTGAAAACTCATATCAATATTTGTTCAGTTACTTAAGTTTTTATTTTGAATTTTAAAATTCAAAATCAAAAATGTAAATCTCAAACTTTAAATCAATGTAGTGGATTTATATTAACTGCTTTTTATTTAAAAATAAATTCATGAAAGAATGTCAAGCAAACTTATCTTCAAATACGTAACAAATTAAAGTGCCAAACAATGTACAATATTTTTAACCATAAAGCATTTTCGTTTTATAAGAAAATATGTTTGTATAATACAAATGCTTTCTTAATAACAACAAGTCATAAATTTTACGAATTTATGGATAATTTGAATAATAAATGCTCGGTAGTAAAACAAAAACCAATATACGTGTGATTTAAATACAAAATATATGAAGCGTAGGCTCTTCTTTTTAATTCAGCAAAATTAGTTTACATTAGACCCTCCTTTAACGTCACTAAAACCAGCAGGGAGGGCCAAGAGTGGTCAGAAAATACCCCGTATGCTTTAAAACCTACTTTCTATACAATTGCACTAAATTTATCAAGATATATATTTTTGTTTTGAAAATTCTCTCATTCTGAATAACCCTAATATATATATATATATATATATATATATATATATATATATATATATATATATATATATATATATATATATATATATATATATATATATATATATATATATATATATATATATATATATATATATATATATATACATACAGAGAGAGAGAATTTCAATAGTAAATTGCTTTTAAAAACATTGCTTAGAGTAAATTGCTTTTAAAAAATCGTTTTAAAACTGGATCTTTCATCAATTACGCAACACAACATTTAATTACTAAACGGTGATGTTCTTCAGAGTTTTTAATAAAACCAAAAATCAAATATGCCATTTAGGTTTATTATAAATCGCCTTGCTAAGGCGATTTATAATGAAACAAGTAATTTCCTAATTCTATTTTAGTAAATATAATTTGGAATAAACTTAAAATTTCTATTTTTGCGACATAAAGATCATTCCTTAATAACAGTGTTTTGAAGTTATCTAAGAAAACAATCAAACTGGATTATTAATAAAACTAAATAATAGCATCAAAATAAATGGTCCAATAATGAAGAATTTTTTTAAAACTCAGCCGGCAAGGCGCCTTTCATAACTTCGTTTAAAATAACATATTTTCATAGTTTTTTAAACAGATTTTTTTTTAAATATCACTTAAAATTTAATCAATAGCTTATATTTATATTTAACAAATTCTCTGAAATGCAATGAAAAATCCTCAAATTTTTATAAGCATTTTTTACCGATAAGTTATTTAAAATAATAAAAAAATAATAACCGATAAGCATTTAAAACAATTTATATCCAGTATGATGGTCCATAATGAATTTTTTGATTTTTATTTAACAATTCTGCTTGATCTTTCTGTCACAAAAATAAAATAATAAAACTATATTGACAGCTTAATGTTATTATTTTTTAAAAAAACTGACAATTTCTTCCTATTACATCTTGTTAAATCTAATAAACAGAAAAATCGAATTTCATTTTTTCAAATATCTTCAGAGTTTAGTATCAAATAATATTTCAGAAAAAAAAGGACGATATAAAATCTACTTCATCAAAATCTTTATTGATTGGTCATTTGCCAGTAACTACTTTTGACATTGATTGACCACTTTTAGGCCGTTCAATACCAGCGCCAGCAGCAGAGGAAGATCGATCAATAACATTAGACTGTTGAGCCCACTTTGGACTATTCGACTGGCGGACTTTCTAAATAATAAATATGCATTAAAAATTAATTATAAGAACTCGTTACTAGTACACACACAGTAACTCGAAAAAAATCTCACTGCAATCGGTGAGGAGTTGCCTACAACATTCGAAGAAACTCGATTTCCAGTCATTGGAGAAGGTGGAGTAAAACAAGAAGAAGGATTACTACCTGCAGCTGAGTGAAGGGCTAAAAAAAAGCAAACACAGATAATATATAGTATATAATGATGACAAATAAAGTAAATTTAAGAAGGCAGCATCAAAGAGAGATTGGTAACTAGCTGTTGGTAATGGTAAACAACTACGTATAATTGAGTGAGAACAGTTCAACATAGTTAAGCATATGGGTCAAAAAGTCCCAGACTTGTATGAAAATCTTCTTTGTTCGTCAATTTATTCTCTTTTGGCGGAGAACATTATTTAAACGTTTTTCAAAGTTTCAAAAATTAAAAGTTTTTTTCATTACATCATTACAACTTATAATTTAAATTTTACTAAATTTAAATTATAAGTTGGTATATTTTTAGGTCTAAATGAAGTGATGAAAATATTTTTTATAGCTGCGCCTCTAAAAAAAACATTTTCAAAATAAAATAAAAAAACTATATGATCTCTTCTGCTAAAATTGATAATTTTTAAAAATGTTATTTCTGCATTTTTACAGTTTGTTAATATGCCAATTTTTAAAACTATTGCAAAATCAAAACATACAATAATAAATTCTTGTTTCCATTATCTTGTTTGGATTTAGTAAATAAATATTTCTGTTAAAATTTTGTTATGAGTCGAAGAAAGCCAGGTTAATAACCAAACATAAACGAAATTGATTTGTTTTTGCTCCATCAGAATTAATAAAAAGCCAATTTTTACTTTAGAAATCATTATTAATCATGCTACATGTTCAGCAAGTGATTTAAAATTGAAAAAAATTATAATCTGAAGGAAGCAGATTTGAATTTATCTATTTTGTTAATGGACATTAATATTTTGGCAGAAACAATGTGTTTGTAATCAGTTTGCCCAAAATATAAGCAAATGGGATTATGTGCTAAAAATTGAAAAGAAAGGATAGGCAAATAACACTTTCCTCTACTTTGTGCCAATAAAGTAAACATATTTTTACCTCGAAATTATTTTACTAAAAAAGGTAGACAAAAAAGTTCTGACATCAAAAGATGTGTGATGGAATTTCGAGAAATTGGCAAAAATTGTGCATCAACCCAAACCTTTCCACTTATACCAATCTTATACAGCTCAAAGCTTATAACAAAATCAATAACAAAATGCTAGTCGTAATGACTGTTGCTAAAAAAGTATGATCAATGCAGTTAGGGAGTGCAAAACATATGTAGATAAAGTTGTTGAATGTACTTTATTTCTTGATGGTACATGGCAAAAAAGAGGTCACGAACCTCTTAACAGCGTTGTTACAGTAATATCTCACAATAACAATGTAGTTATTGACAATGAAGTGCTTTTAAAAAATGTCAAGCCTAACATGGTGTAAAAAAAAAGATGGAGATAAATGTTAAAGAGCACCCATAGCTATTCAATAAACCAAAACAGACTCAATGGAAACACCAAGAGCTATAGCAATTTTTATCAATCATTGATTGAAAATGTTAGAGATGGTAACATCAGCTCATTACTTAAAGTTGCAAAGAGTAAGCCATATGGTGGAGATTTTGTTTTTAATAAATTTGAATTTTGTTTTATTGTATTGAGTCAGACACTAAAGCACAAAGACATCTTAATTGCCCAAGAACCAATGATAGTGCCTGCAAAAGGTACTAACTAAATGAAGTGATAAGGTTAAATTATTAACCTGAATTGTCATTCCCAGCTGCTATTATAGATGTTTTAAAACCAATTTTAATAGAGCTAAGTACTGATAGTTAATTAAATTCTTGCATGGAATGATCCGAAATGTCAATGTATCATTTAAAAAATGATTTGGTCTTGATGCCCTAAAAGTCAATATTTTAGTAAATAAATAAATAAAACTGATGTTTGTTCAGCAATTATTCATTTTAGTGATGATTTTAATGGGCTTTATAATATATTTAAATGTTTAAACAACTCTCTTGAAGCTATATTTTAAATTTACTGTTTAAAATTACCAAACCAAACTTCAATGGTTGTTATTGACAAGGCTAATAATAGCTATGTTGTGCTAGTAATAAGTAATGTACAGCAATGTTGTGCAAGTAATAAGTAATGTACAGCTATGTTGTGCAATTAACAAGTAATGTACAGGTATGTTGTGCAAGTAAGAAGTAATGTACAGCTATGTTGTGCTAATAAATAAAAAGTTTGTTTTTGCATCAAAATTGATATTAATATGCATCTTACATGTGTTATTGATTAATCTTTATCTCCCAAAGATGTATCTTACAAGAGTATCAAAGGTGAAAATCAAAGACTAACAGGTATATTTAACAGGTAAAAATTACAAACTAATGCACAGTGAGATATAGGATGCATTGAAATACAAAAAAAGATATGACATATTTACAAACTATACATTAAAATAGAACATTTAAATAGATCTAAAAAGATCTTGTTTGTTAACAAACAAGATCTTTTTAGAATTATAAACTTGAATTTATTACATCAATTTATTACCTGATGATTGATAAACACCATTGAAAAAATGTTATAAGCATTTAAAATAGTTTATTACCCGGTGACTTAGGTCGAGTTGGGTATGGAACAGGACTTGATATAGCCCGATCTCTAAATGCAATTGGTCCTCCATGAGCTGCAAGTTCATTAAAATGTCTAAACAAAAAATCAATTTAAAGGACGATCATAAAAAATTATTAATAAATTTTTTAATAAACTTTTAAAAACTTTTTTATCTTAATTTATACAGAGTTTAAAAGCATAATAGATATTTTAAGTTAAAGTACATTTAAAAGCATAATAGATATTTTAAGTTAAAGTACATATAAAAGCATAATAGATATTTTAAGTTAAAGTACATTTAAAAGCATAATAGATATTTTAAGTTAAAGTACATTTAAAAGCATAATAGATATTTTAAGTTAAAGTACATTTAAAAGCATAATAGATATTTAAGTTAAAGTACATTTAAAAACTCTAGCTTTTTTTATCTTTCAGGAATTTTTTTTTTTTTTTTTACAAATTGGGCAAATCTAAAAATTAAAACATATTTTGAACAATAAAACTAACTGTTTTATTTCCAATATAAACCTTTAATCTTATTCTTGATCTATTAGTAAAATGCGCAAATAAGAGTACACTGTGTCTGGATAGATAAAGTTCCTTAGAAGAGCTAAAGATTTATTACTTTTATAAAAATTTATTACTTTTGTTATGCTTGTTAGTTTATTGTTATTTAATGACATAAATAAGTTAAAGATAAAGGAAATATGTACCAAGACAAAAATTAGTGCAAAAAAAAAAATTAGTATTATAAATGATAATGATATTGTTTTGGGCCAATATCTTGATAAATAATTTGATTTTGTAAATTTTAATAATTCAACTTATTCTCAAAAGTTTATTCATAATATGAACATGACTTGTTTCATGTAGTGGTAACCAAAGATTTGTGACCTAAATGTTTGATTGCCACTACACCACTTTTAAAGCTACTTTTTACAAATTGAACAACTTTATTCCAACATCTTTTTTACACACTTCACATGGTTTATGATTAACCTTTTCGAATTTTTCTTTCCAATACTAAAGCTTTGGAAATAATTCTTTTGTCTCTCAAACAAGCATAAATCATCTGCATAGAATAGCTCTAATGGTAAACCAAAACTAAGATGCACACAAACCTTTACTATAAAACTTACTAAAACTATAAGTCTCTCTATCTTTTATTTTGATTGCTGATGTGACATTTTCATAAATAGCTACTAAAACTGTTTCCAGCCATTTTTTAACACCTAAAAACCAAACACACCAATATAAAAGCTTTTTCAAGATTCACAAATGCCATCCAAATTTTTTTTTTTCTTTTTCTATATCTTTCTAGAACTTGCCCTACAATAAACAGTGCATCTGTCATATCTTTTGTTGGCTTGAAAACAAACAACACGTTATCAATGAATACACACTGCTTCTTATTTTTTTTGTCAACAACTCTTTATAGACTCTTCATAACCTGGTTAGGTAATTATATACCTCAATATCTACCATTTTTATAAAGTTCTACCATTCAACTTTTCTTCTAATCGTTTAGGATTTTACCTTCATGTATATTGCAAAGTCCTTACACCCACCGAACATATCCACTGAAGTTTTGAATATCTCAGCCAATATTAAAACCATTATCATCAACATCTCAGCCAACATTACAAACATTATCATCAATACCTCAGTCATCATTCCTATCTGATGCATTCACTGAAGCCTTCAATATCTCAGCAAATGTGTCAGAATCAATTATTTAATCAGTCATTAATTCAGATAAAACTCAATTTTTTTAGCCAATTGTTATCGCATTAATTTAGATCTTTCTTTATTTATGAATGGTAATATAGTTAATGAGTTATCTACCCTTCGTCTTCTAGAATTAACTGATACTTCTGGTCTTTCTTGGAAACTATATATCAAATCCATTGCAAAATTAGCACCTGCTAAGGTTGCATCTCTTTATCGAGCTCGACACTTTCTTACTCCGGATTATATTCTCTATCTCTATAAACCTCAAATCCGGCCTTGTATGGAATACTGTTGCCATATCTGGGGTGGATCTTCTAATGATGCCTTTTCTCTTTTAGACACGGTGCAAAAACGCATTGTAAACATACTTGGACCTCCTTTTGCAGCCAACCTCCAACCATTATCACATCGTTAAAATGTTGCTTCTCTTTCTCTTTTCTAAAAATACTTTAATGGGCACTGCTCTAAAGAGCTAGTGTCTCTTGTGTCATCTAATAAAATTCATTCTCGTGTTACTGGTCATTCAATCAAGTCTCATCATTTTTCTGTGACTGTTTCGAAGTGCTCTAAAAACTCCTATTCCTCTAGTTTTCTTCCTGGAATTTCAGTTCTTTCCTGATTCATAAAATTTGCAATCTTTTAAGTCGTCTGTCAATCGTTATCTTGCTCTACAATCTCCATCTTTTCGCTTCAAGTAACTTCCAACTCTAATAGTGGTTGCTTGCAGCCTTGTTGGAAGCGAAGTTGTTAAAAAAAAGAGAATCAGCAACCTTGCCTATTTTAACTCTCTGAACAGTCACTTTTATGTCAGTTAATCAGATTTAGTAGTCCACTAACTTAAATCACTACAGAAAAGCTTTATTCCAAATTATTTCTCAATTTTTCAAAATGAACCTTCCACCATATTTCTATCCACATCTTCTATCTAGACCTAATAGTCTTAAAGTAAAAACATAACTCCATATCATATTCCATATTATATGCTTACAATACTTAAAAGTGGATTTCTTTTGTCTTCTAAATCTAACATCTCACCAATTAACATATGCTCATAGAATTGAGCTTTGTATAGAAGTTTCTTTGCATTGCGCTCAACTAAGCAATACAAGTGCATGCCTTCATTATTCTCAGACTTTTTTTTATTTTTTATAAAACTTTCTACAATTTTACTTCTGCAGTTCACTAAAATGATTGTCTCTGAGTACCTTGCGTTCTTTCTTTTACTTTAACATATACATCTAAAAACTATCCTAACCAAAACCATAAAAAATCCCTGCCAGTGTGTTACACATTATATCAATGGGCCCTAAACCTCTGCTAGTATTGTTGTTTAGCTGGAGCTGTAAAAAACACTATATTTATCTAGAACCAAAATGGAGGCCCTCAAGAAAATACTTAGCTTAATGTAAGAATTATGAAATAATGTACAAGTCTTGAGGTTCTATAGAAGAACATTCAAAATAAAAATTGAGCATTAAAAATAAAAGGTAAAAAACTCTGCTTACAAGTTGCCATTTCATTGCCAGAAACACAGAAACACTTTTACATTTCCTTTTTTACACTTTTTTTAAAAAAAAATTTTTTTATTAAGGGTAAAAAACACATGTACCGCTCTTCATCCATTTCAAGACTTGATTCACTTTCAGAGAGCTGACGACTAAGTTGTTCTCTTCTTTCCATCTCCAGTAATAGCTTTCGTTGTAATCTAACATTTTCTTCTTTCAGCTGATTTTCTTCCTCTTCAAACTTAGACATAGTTTTGCTGTCTATAAACATGAAAAAAAAAAACATTGAAAATAAAAAAAAAAAAAAAAAAAACCCGAATAAAATCTATTTATTTTCACTTATTAATAAAAAATATGTTTACATTTACTGTCACACAAAAATAAACAAAGATAGTGCTAGACATAAATAAGTTAAAGATAAAGAAAATATGTACCAAGACAAAAACTAGTGCAAAAAAAAAATTAGTATTATAAATGATAATGATATTGTTTTGGGCCAATATCTTGATTAATAATTTGATTTTGTAAATTTTAATAATTCAACTTATTCTCAAAAGTTTATTCATAATATGATTATATATGATATATATATGATATATATATATATATATATGATATATATATATATATATATATATATATATATATATATATATATATATATATATATATATATATATATATATATATATATATATATATACACATACAGTTGCGGTGACTAGAGCTTGTGGACAAAAAAACCCAAGTTTTTGGGCCCACCCAGCCCTTAATGCAGGAGCGACAAGTTGACAATATAATTTCTTTAGTATTTTTATCTAAGTTTATATTCATTAACAAATTTCAAATTTCATGCAATAATCTCCTATTTTTCAAAAATTATGACCATATAATGTGGTAGTGGTGTAGTGGTAGAGCACTCGCTTCATAAACGAGTGGTTCAGAGTTCGATCCCCACCACATCCCTGGTAGTACCGCGCTCAACTCGTTTCTCGGCGCAGCGGCCTTGTTCGTCAATGTTCGTGTTTTGGAGTTATAGAGTTGAGAGAGGGTTATAGCCACAAATAAGTAGCCTCCTCGTCTGTAGTGGCCTTCTCGGCCACTACAGACGAGGAGGCTACTTATTTTAAAAAAAAAAGTATAAAGTTTTAACCCCCCTTCAATTTGAGGGGGCTGTAAACTTTGTAGGGTCATAAAAACTAAACACTAAGAGGTTATTGCATGAAATTTAAAACTTTTTGATGAATATAAAAGATACAAATACTAAAGAAATTATTTTATAAACTTCTTGCTCCCACGTTAAGGGCTGGGTAAGCCCAAAAATTGGGGGGGGGGGGTTGTCTCCAAGCTCCAATCACCACAACTCTTTGCAAAACATTCTCATTTGACATAAACATATACATACAAAAGTTTGGAGTTTGCACAATGCCTGTAAGTGTCAAAACTCAAACATCTAAAAATCCAGTGTACACCACTGCTATATATAATACTTACAACTAATATATATACACAATTTATTTATAGCAGTGCATTTCATGTCAATCAAATTAAATACTATTGGATGTAAAAAATTTTTACTAACACAACATAAAGATAACCTAATCTAAAAATACACACAAAAAAGAAGATTACATATAAGATTACATATAAAAGCAACATTAAAAAGATTATTACATGAAAGGATAAAAATTTCAGTTCACAATTAAAATAAAAAATACATACAAAAGGAACATAAACTATTATATAGAAAATATACAATAGTAATATAGATAATAATTTATCTCAAAAAAATAAAATAACATAATTATGAATAAATTAAGTAACATTATACATACGCTCTGCTGCAGCACTACACAGTTGAGATCTTAATCGTAAAACTTCATCTCTTAGAGCATTAACATTGTCAGAAAGATTATCAACATCAAGATCAAAAACAGTATCTTTTCGTGGTGATGCTGGTTCTGAAATGGGTTGATCTAATTTCTGCTGCAACAATCTGGAATTTTATTTTAACATTGTAGCACTTTGCAACATTTTAAACATTTAAAAAATTTTTAACTTTAGTTGAAGACTTTTAACCTTTTTTCTGCTTCAAGTTTTTCCATTCTCACCCATAATCTATTAACAAGTGCTTCTTGTTCTTGCTCAAGAGTGTTTTCAAGATCAACTTTTTCTTTACGCAACTAATCAGAGGAAAAAATAAATAGAAAATTTAAATTGTAGCACAAATTACATTTTAACTTGTGTATTTTAAAAACTAAAGTATTCTCAAAATAATTATAACTGCAAAAATTCTTGGACATTGAACTATTTAAAATTAACTTGGATAAGATCTGATTTACATAAATAATTTTCAATATGATATTTTTCATAAGTTATAGTTAAACATATAGGCAACAAATAAAGCAAATATAGCAAGGTTCAATCTTTTTAGGTTGCTCTTGTTTTTCTATATATGAGAATTATATTATGTGCTTATATGAGAATTTAATTGTATAACTAAACTTGCTGACTTTCTATTTTGTTGACTAAAAGACACAAAAGAGTGTAAACCAATAATTTAGTTTTATTTTTAATTTTAAAACTAATAATAATAATAAAAAATTGCACATGTTATGCAGTATATATGTATATGATTTCTATGTATATATACATAATTCTTTTTAGATAGAGCTTTGCATGAAATGCCACTGATTACGCTGTACAGAAATAGATATCTGCATGGGTTTCAGTACATACATGGACTGAGGGTTTGAATTAAGGCAGCTCAATCTATGCATAAAAGAAATTTTAAGTCTATTGTATGCAGATTATACCAGCTAATTTTTAAAATTCCAGTATTATTACACTATCATTAAGATAAATAAGCGAAATGTGTCTGGTCTTTAAATCTTTAGTTTTTTAAAAACCATTAAGTACAAATATTATTAAACATGAAACAATCAGAAATATTTAAAACTAAACAACCTCAAATCACAACAGTTTTCATTTTGTTTGTTTGGAATTTAACAGTGATCAAATATTTATAAATAAAAGAAATTGCAACTACTTTAACATCATATTTAAATTTTATGTTAATATAACCATCAATTAAATGGCTGTAATTCTCTAGTTGTCATTAGATGTTATTAATGACCGGCAATTGAAGATCACACTGTACTCTCCTGAGACCGCCAGGGTATATTTTGGTTTACTCTAAATTTTTTGTTTATTTACTTTTATTGAGTTAAATAAAGTATTTTAAAATAATTTTTAAAATCTAAACTAACTTTTATGTATAGAAATTTTAGATTTAATTAATTAAAATGTTGAAAATAAATTGCATTATAATATGATTACATCATCTATTTAAATTGGTACAAAATGTTGCAATACAGATAAAAATAATTATTATGGTTAAAAGCGATCATATTTTTTGTCAAAATGGCTGACGAAAAATGTCTAATTTGTGCATGTTGCTTTATTTCCTTTGGAAAAGGATCACATAAACTTATTAAAGAAACTCCCGCAGTACAACTTCATATTCAAAATTTATTTTCAAGAGAATATGATGTAGAAAAAGAGTGTTGTCCAAAAAACATCTGTAATTCTTGCAAAACTAATTTATATGCATTAAACAGGGGGTGAAACGTCAAAATTAAATGATTGGATTGAGAAAATATCTCAAATTAACAAACAAAAACTCAGAAGATCATCTGATATTAGCGAAATATTTGAACAGATCACAACAAATAATCAAGACATCATTGATAAAATTATTAAAAAGATATGTCCTTCTTGCTTTTCTACAATAAGTATGATTTCCCTAAATAAATTTAAAACATTGTATAAATTATATAATACTTTAGTTAATAAACTATTTCTTCAATTATTGTTAAAAAAAAATAATTTAGCATAGAGTCTATCTTAATTAATGCATAGTATATAATAGAATTGTTCAAATATGTGTATTATTCTTATATATTTTGCAAATATAACAACATCTGAGTTTTTTCTACTTTAAATTTCTACTCTAAATAAAAGTTTTTTCTACTTTTATTTAATAAATAAAAGTTTTTTCTACTTTAAATTTCTACTTTAAATAGGCAAAGGAATTTCTCACTTTTGCTGTAAAAGTGAAGTTGTAAAAAACCTAATTATGTTGGCTCGAGGTCTTGGAAATGTATCCTGTGAGCTAGTTGTTTCTGGGATTCTCAAAATAAAAAGGAAAAGAGACAATATTAACTCTGGAGACAAGTTTCTTTTAAAAATCTTTGGAAACCTCTTTGTTGTTGTTGGCACACCTGCTAATAAATGTAGCAGAGCATCCGTTTAAAAGTTATCTCTAGAAATTATAATGGAAATGTCTAATACTTTAAACCTGAGTAAAAAAAAGACTAAGCTACTTTATAAACATATGCATCAAAACTTAGGGAAGAAAATGTTAGAACCTAATATACCAACTCAGATAGAAGAACTGCATAACCTATTTTCAGATTTTTATGATGTCAAAACTGAACCATTCATTTCAGGGGATGAAGAGATAAGTCACAGTTGGGTATTTGTAAAAGATACTTCTGATTTAATTCTTCGTATGATTAATGAAAGAGGTTTGAATTGTTATTGCACTAATGCTAGAATTTCCATTGATGGTGGACAGGGTTTTCTTAAATGCGTTATAAATGTTTTTGATCCACAACTTCAGAAAGTCTTGATGATTCTGGTGTAAAAAGATCATTGGTTTTGGCTTTAGTTGAAGATGTTTCAGAGCATAATGGTAATCTTAGCAAATAATAAAACCACTAGCTCTGAATGATAAAATATTTAATAGCATTTAAAGTAAAATGTGGTAACTCTTTATTTGGTTTAAGCAGTCACAACAGCAAGTATACATGTCTCTGGTGTGAAGGGAAGAGTACTCTTGAGAGCAGAAAAAAAAAGAACCTTTTAAGTTTAATTGACATCAACTACAAAAAGTTCATTGAAGATGGATGCAAAAAAAAATCACATGATGGAATTTAAAAACTGTATTTCTCCTAAAGTTGTGTATCTTGATGAACATGCACTTTAGTAGAACATCTCATTCCTCCACCAGAGTTACTCATTTTTATTGGTATTACTTCTATGTTTGTAAAAATATTAATTGCACTATGGCCTGATTTCGATTTGTGGCTAAAGTCGAATTATATTATCTTTAGAGGTTACCATGGAACTGTTTTGGATGGTAACAACTCACAGAGACTTTTAGATAAACTAGATAATTTAGAAGTTAATCTTTTAAGTGCAACCTCTATATAACCAAATATGATATTTTTCCAACCTGTAGCTAGCTGTCTTAAAAAGTTTTCAATTATTGAAACAAAAGGTTATTACATGCTTATTGGAGAATCTATAGCTGAATCAGTTTTAGATTTTAAAAAAGCTTTCAAAAATCTGCAGCTTCATCTTCTGGAAAAGTTTAACTAGCAATTAAATATTAGTTGAAAAGTTCATATTTTAGTATGACATCTTGTTCCTGGAATTTATCTCAACTTTATCGTGAAAGATCTCATTTTTTCATTTCAAAGTTCTATTCTTTTAACAAAAATTGTTTTAGAGGTGCAATGCCCTATTAATTTTGAGAAAAAATCCCCACCCTTCCGATATTGCGCCCTCCCCCTCCATATGTTACTTTAGTTAAAAACTATTTTTACAAAAAAAAATATAAGGTTTTGATCAATACTTAAAAATTTAACTGTTTGTTGATATGCTGCAAAAGCATGCCTTGAAGTATTGCTACATTGGCTTGTTCCAGAACCACCACTATTGGATAATCAAAAATTCCCATTTTGTTCTATAAAATCATTCTGAATTTTCTGTTTATTCACAGATAACTTTTCTTTGACTTCATTAGATCATACTTGGCACTTTCTAATTTTTTTTTTTTTTTATATATATATGCAATCTGCAAAATCATCTAAAAAAATTGAAATAATCTAGCTCATGATTGTATAATATTATAGCAGTGCAAGTGATAAATAAAATTGCCCTGCGCAATTTTGTTTATCACTTGCACTGTTGTTTTTTTTCAGTTTTAAAAGCGCATTTTGCGCTTTTAAAACTGAAACACATTATTAACAAGCGCAATTATGCGCACTCGACATCTTCCAGAGGGATAGTCAGGCTTGGAAATTGGTTCCCACAGGGTCATCCATAAATTACATAAGTATGTATGGGGAGTGGTCACTCAAAAGCATACCAGTGCCTACAAGGGTGGAAAAACAATGAAATACCACACAGGTTTATTTATTTTAAAGTTGTTACCAAAAAATTAAATTTATTTTAAATCAAGTTTTGACAGCTGAATTATTATTAAAAAAGGATTTATCTTAATAATTAAATTTTAAAAAAATTTATAGATTTTTACTTAACATATTACTAAAGTTATTACTAAAATATTAGTAACTCTGTCATTAAAAATGAATTTTCAAACTAAATTTTCTTATCTCACATTTCAAATTTGTGGTTTAAAACCTTGGATTTTTTATTTGAATTTTATCAAGTTTTAATTTTATAATTTAAACTTTCTACTCTCATTTGGATGAACACCTTTTGAAAATAGTTAACATTTCAATATATATGTTAGCAGTAATGACTTTATAACTTTTCATGCTTTATTTGTGCAAAATAGAAAACTGCTTTCTAATTTAAACTGAATGCGCGATTAAATTATTATCAAGTGAACTATTTTTTATATACTTGATTATATACTTAATAAATATATAATATACTTATACTAAATTAGTATTAGTATTACTAATAGATACTAATATATAATACTAGTATATTTAAGTATATATATATATATATATATATATATATATATATATATATATATATATATATATATATATATATATATATATATATATATATATATATATATATATATGTATATATATATATATATATATATATATATGATATATATATATATATATATATATATATATATATATATATATATATATATATATATATATATATATATATGTATGCATGTATGTATATATATATGTATGTATATATATATATATATATATATATATATATATATATATATATATATATATATATATATATATATATCAGGCCTTCTCGTAAGAGGCATCCAATTGCGCGCCTTATATGACAATGCATAAAGTTCTTTGTTTTAACAACTTGA